ACTGGTATCCTCTCTTAATATGCGTTAATTTAAAGAAAAAACTTTTGGAGCAAATTTTAAACACTCTATGTGTAAACTGTGTAATTGTAAACACTAAGGCTGCGTTTCTTTATTCATTTCGGATAATCCCATTTCACAGCCAGAATAAACAGAATGCGATTGAAATATACGTTAACATATCATCAGGAACGTTCTAAAGAATAAGTAAACAAAAAAGTTTATTCCAAACGTTCGGAATGAATAAAGAAATGCAGCCTAAGAAAATTCGATAGAAACTGAATATTCTGAGTTAACTACGCACTGTGAATTTTTCCTTAAGTGTTTAGAATTCAACAAACAAATTTAAAATTTGTTCTAAACCACACATATGGTTAGTAAAAGTTAACAAAGCAGTATTTAAATTGATTAACACTCTGCATACATTAAGAGAGGAAACTGGTTACCTTTTTTAATATGCTTAAATTTAAACAAACATATTTTAGAGTGTAGTTAACTCGGCAAATATTTGTGTGCGTATTTCCCTGACGTCATTACGGTATTCTATTGCAAGTTTTGTTTAATATGGAGAGAAAATTAATCGAGTTGGCGCGGAATTATCCAGAATTATATAATATGGCAATGATTGACAACTGATCATTAGAAAAATAAGTCAACTTGGTTTCAGTGAACTTCATTTTACTGAAAGTACCGGACGACATATTACGGATGTGTTTGAATTGGTATCACTGATCGATGCTGATTGGCAATGATACTGAACTGGTACGGCACTGATTTGTGAGGATAGATCTTAACTTTTGTTATTATTACCAATCGATTACAACACATTATATGTACATACATATGTACTAGGGTTACAATGGCCGCCCAGATGAATTATGGATGTTACTAAGGGCAAAATTCTTCCTTTAAAGTGGCTTTCCCATTTGAGTTTCAGTAAGGTTTCTCTTTAACTTTGATGCAAAATTACTCACGAGGCGTCGCGAAGCACGCCGGGTATTTGCTAGTTAAAAATAAAAAATTTGGTGATAATTTGCAAAATCTTCATAATTTTTGCACAAAGTATGAAATTTTGATTTAAATGGTGTTTTTTAAGTAATCGGCTACCAGGTTCCTTCCCTGCAATAAACTGCTGACCATATCGGAAACGAAACTATCGATTGTAGGCTCGCATACATATGTACATACATACATACATCAAAGAAAATTTTACTTTCATTTACTGGTGTTATTGTAGTTCAAAGTACACAAATATAGAAAACGCAAATCGATAATTTGACAAATAATGAAAATTTTTAATAAAACATCGCGCGATTTTTTATTACAAATTTTCGCCTGCGGTCCTTTTTCCATAAAAATCAATACTTTGATATATAATGAAAATATTTAATAAAAAATCGCGCGATTTTTTATTAAAAATTTTCGCCTCCGGTGCTTTTTCCATAAAAATCAATACTTCGATAAATAATGAAAATTTTTAATAAAAACTAGCGATTTTTTATTAAAAATTTTTGCTTGCGGTCCTTTTTCCATAAAACTCAATACTTTGATATATAATGAAAATATTTAATAAAAAATCGCGCGATGTTTTGTTACAAATAATCGCCTGCGGCGCTTTTACCATAAAAATCAATACTTCGATAAATAACTAGGTTAGCATTTTTATTACAAAATCTCGATTTTAGAGAGAATTAAAAAAAAATTAATTACAATGTCCGTTTTTATTGTTTCTCGTTTTCAGTGCCTTTTTTGGGCATTTCCTGTTGTGTGGCAGCACCGACATTTTAGTTCAATTGGTTTGCAAAGCAAAAAGTGAGGTTGAAGTTGACATTTTTTGCAACTTAAAATTCCATTTTCTTAAAAACTATAAGCCTCCGGGGGGGGGGTTTTTCAGATTTACAATCACAAAAAACCGCTCTAAAC